ACCTACAGCCATCACAGACATAATTTATAGTGTATATCACCTACAACCATCAGACATACTTTTAGCTTCAGTAGTCTCATCTAGCTTACTGCGTAAACTGCGGCATGAAATTGTCACCTTGGAAACACAAAACATAACATTGCTGATGCTATTGTTTAGAAAAGGTTCCAGCTTGATTGCATTGCCATGTAAAATTCTGATGTACTTACAGCATCATCAGATAAAAGTCGAATATACTTACAGCATCATCAGGTAAAACTTTGATCCTTTCCCATGCGAACGATGGTCCAGTTTCCTGAAGGTAGCGGTTAAATAATTCCTCATAATCATCTAGCTCCCGACGCATCTCCTGTAAAACATAAGACATGCAGAGTCATTACAACACACATCTGTAACACCAAAAACAGCAGACTCAATATAACACACATCTGTAACACCAAAAACAGCAGACTCAATATAACACACATCTGTAAAACATAAGACATGCAGACTCATTACAACACACATCTGTAACACCAAAAACAGCAGACTCAATATAACACACATCTGTAACACCCAAAGACGAGCAGACTCAATATAACACACATCTGTAAAACATAAGACATGCAGACTCATTACAACACACATCTGTAACACCAAAAACAGCAGACTCAATATAACACACATCTGTAACACCCAAAGACGAGCAGACTCAATATAACACACATCTGTAAAACATAAGACATGCAGACTCATTACAACACACATCTGTAACACCAAAAACAGCAGACTCAATATAACACACATCTGTAACACCCAAAGACGAGCAGACTCAATATAACACACATCTGTAAAACATAAGACATGCAGACTCATTACAACACACATCTGTAACACCAAAAACAGCAGACTCAATATAACACACATCTGTAACACCCAAAGACGAGCAGACTCAATATAACACACATCTGTAAAACATAAGACATGCAGACTCATTACAACACACATCTGTAACACCAAAAACAGCAGACTCAATATAACACACATCTGTAACACCCAAAGACGAGCAGACTCAATATAACACACATCTGTAAAACATAAGACATGCAGACTCATTACAACACACATCTGTAACACCAAAAACAGCAGACTCAATATAACACACATCTGTAACACCCAAAGACGAGCAGACTCAATATAACACACATCTGTAAAACATAAGACATGCAGACTCATTACAACACACATCTGTAACACCAAAAACAGCAGACTCAATATAACACACATCTGTAACACCCAAAGACGAGCAGACTCAATATAACACACATCTGTAAAACATAAGACATGCAGACTCATTACAACACACATCTGTAACACCAAAAACAGCAGACTCAATATAACACACATCTGTAACACCCAAAGACGAGCAGACTCAATATAACACACATCTGTAAAACATAAGACATGCAGACTCATTACAACACACATCTGTAACACCAAAAACAGCAGACTCAATATAACACACATCTGTAACACCCAAAGACGAGCAGACTNACTCAATGTAACACACAACTGTAACACCAAAGACAAGTAGACTCAATGTAACACACATATGTAACACCAAAGACAAGCAGACTCAATGTAACACACATCTGTAACACCATAGACAAGCAGACTCAATATAACACACATCTGTAACACCAAAAACAGCAGACTCAATATAACACACATCTGTAACACCAAAGACAAGTAGACTCAATGTAACACACATCTGTAACACCAAAGACAAGCAGACTCAATAAGGCACACATCTGTAACACCCAAGACAAGCAGACTCAATATAACACACATCTGTTACACCAAAGACATGAAGACTCAATATAACACACATCTGTAACACCAAAGACATGCAGACACATTACAACACACATCTGTAACACAAAAGACAAGTAGACTCAATGTAACACACATCTGTAACACCAAAGACAAGCAGACTCAATATAACACACATCTGTAACACCAAAGACATGCAGATGCATTACAACACACAACTGTAACACTAAATACAAGTAGACTCAATATAACACCCATCTGTAACATCATAGACAAGCAGACTCAATATAACACACATCTGTAACACCATAGACAAGCAGACTCAATGTAACACACATCTGTAACACCAAAGACAAGTAGACTCAATGTAACACACATCTGTAACACCAAAGACATGCAGACTCAATAAAACACACATCTGTAACACCAAAGACATACAGACTCAATATATCACACATATGTAACACCAAAGACATGCAGATGCATTACAACACACAACTGTAACACCAAAAACAAGTAGACTCAATATAACACCCATCTGTAACACCATAGACAAGCACTCAATATAACACACATCTGTAACACCATAGACAAGCAGACTCAATATAACACACAACTTTAGCACCAAAGNCTCAATGTAACACACATCTGTAACACCATAGACAAGCAGACTCAATGTAACACACATCTGTAACACCAAAGACAAGTAGACTCAATGTAACACACATCTGTAACACCAAAGACATGCAGACTCAATATAACACACAACTGTAACACCAAAGACATGTAGGCACAATATAACACACATCTGTAACACCAAAAACAGCAGACTCAATAT